AGTGAATGTTACTGCGGTAACGTTCCGTACAAAGAGAGAAGGAGAAGAAGAAACCACAAGCTGTTCGTTGGAGTGACATTGTGAATTTGTCTGTGAGTTTAACGCTCTTATAGCGCAGGGTACAAAGACGTATCCAAAGCGTGTCCTTTTTGTAGAGCAGCATGTCTGTATCTACGGCCAAGACGAATAATATTTGTCATATATAACATAATCTACACCAAAGTGCAGTTTGAGGTTGATGGGAATGTCATTTTAGTTTTCATGAATTTGGCTATAAAAAACCATAAAAAATGTTGGACATATTCAAGGTAATATAACATTAATAATGATGTCCTAGATGATGTTTAGTGAAAAGTATAGATGATCTTCACCGCCAATTAAATTAACATCTCCTTAGCTGAACAAGGAACAGATGATAAACATACAGACAGTACACATAATTCTAAAATGTAAATTAATCCAACAAGATTTGGTTCTAACATATGTTTGATCAGTTTCAGTAGTTCAGGATCAGAAATCTTATTGTATCCCCAGGGGAATTTTGTTTTAGAACAGGTTGTTGCTACTCACACAATGTAAATGATACTAATAAATGCTTACGATTGCAATATCTAACACAAGTAAATAAATGTAGGAATGTATAGCATAAGTATGATAATAGATATAAAGAAAAGCATGAATATAATAAGAGAATATTAATGAAAATAAAACTAGAGCCGGAGAGCATGTAAACCGTTAAAATCAGAAGCAAATTTAATTAATAGTCATATGACGAAATTATTGAATGTTAGATCATTTCAGATAAGGAAGATATACTTTAAAGAAATTTAAAGAATTACGTTGTTGGTGCTAAGGAAATAGGGACAGAGTCTAGAATAGGGTGTAATATGAATTATGACTAAAAAACAAAAAGTAACAAAATAAAAAAAAACTCATTCTAATAGAATACAAATGTAGAAATAATAAGGAGATAAGTCCATTAAAATTTAATGGATAATTTGTATCATTCTAAATCTAAAATAATACGATAACATCAGGTCGCGGATACTTTTACAGATGCTGACTGTCTGTTTTGATATACTTCAACATTCAAGAATAATACGACCCTTATAGCCTGGTCAATCCAACGATAGGGGTACTGGTTTTCAGTGTGTTATCCTTCATGTTGTAAAACTGAAAAGTTTATATATATACATTTCTTGAATAGCAGAATGTCCTCTGAGATTGGTAGTCCAGAACGTGCCTCCAGTGCTTTGAGGTTTTTTAGCACTACTGCTTGATTTTCGACTTAAAAGAAGCTGTAGAAAGTCTCTTCACTAGTTTTATGAATAGCTCTAGAAAGTAGAAGAGAAGTGAAGTGTTTATTGTTAGAATAATCATAATCAGTGTGTTGAGAATGGAGAGAGGAGAGAAGAGAACCATAGATCATTCTTCACTGCGATACAAAAAAGTCGAGAGGAGAGCGTCATTCAGGGCAGACAGACTCATCATCAACATATCAGTATAAAACACTATAATAAATGGACCATTATGCTAGTATGGAACCCAATGAAGCAAGTATGACTATAGTCAAGATGACTAGGGTCCGATGTAAGGAAGCTTTAAGAAATGCATGAAAAACAGAAACACCAATGATGACCATGCCAAAAAGAAGGCCCACCAGATTCTCAGTAACCCCTGCAGTATCTTTCTACGATCACAGCCGTCATATTATCCGAGTGCGTCATGCTAACTGTTGCGTCTGGCACGTGAGGCATGAACCTAATCGGTACATTCTGAAAATGCAGACCCAAGACACACTGAGAAGTTCAGGCCACTGACAACCAAAAGAGCTGACGCCCCAAAAACCAGTCCCTTCTGACAGTATGGTCTTGAGGATACCTGATCATGAATAACACGGCTGAATAATGTTCACCTCAGACAAGCGACTGAGTTCCAGACCACTACATCAGGGTAAACCGAAATTAACATAATAGACTACTGTACTGTGGAACACACGCACAACACCGACACGACACACATCAGAGGACAGTCTGACCAGAACACAGAATAGAGGAAGGGGTGACAGAAAGTTCCTGGCCTACCAAGAGAAGAAAGAGTCTGGTCACCTGCACAGACAGTAGCTTGAGAAAGAGAATGAGCGCTCTCTTAAAATGTTAAATTTATGAGTATCGAGGATTGGAGGAACTTTAGATAAATTTAATACAATAATTGCCAGACTTAGAAGTCAAGTTCCAGTGACAAGATGAAAACCCAATAGGCATTATATTAGGAGAGGGGACATCAGCAGCAATATAGCTGCACAAGTATGATGACTGCAAGGGGACAGACACAGAAAAGTATATTGACCGAATGGTATCACTTTCGAAATACCTCTGTTGTTACATATAGAACACAACACACGCCACGCACACACACACCACACACACAAGCACAACCACACACACACACACACTGTTCTGTTTATTAGTATTTTTTTTCTTGTTCTCTGTAGTACTGTATTCTACTTATTGTATTGTATTTAATGATTATTTGTATCAAATGTATTCTTTATGGCCTGTTTTCTTTGTATTTAACTATTAATTTGTGTTTGTTGTTTTCAAATTTTTAATGCTTTGACATATTAGATTAAAACTGAAATTGATAGAGAGCTACAGAAAGAAGGAGAGAGAGAGAGAGACAGATAGAGAGAGATGGAGAGACAGAGAGAGAGTCAGATAGAAAGAGAGAGAGTGGACCAAATCTACGTATAGGTAATCTGAACAATATCTTTCTACACTGTGAATGTACTGATTTTACAAACACTCTGTATATAAAGCCACACAAGCAGAGGACAGGATGCAGTTACAGTGATGAACACTGTTACTCACACAGAGTCAACCCTTCATTGTGGTGCTGACTTACTGTATTCTTCCTTTACGTTTCTCTCACAACTATCTTCTTCATCCTCCTCCTCTTCGCTCCAGGAAACAGGACACAGTAAACTTCCAGCTTCTGTTTCTCTCACTTCCAGGTGGAAGTAGGCATGTGGGAAGCACTTTGTGTTTGAGTGTGTGTGTGCATCAAAGTACTGGAAAAATGGACCTATTGACCCCTTCATGCTCCCTTCTCTCTCACGTAGAAGAAGCAAACTGTTTATATCATCAACATAAATCTAACCTCCACCTCCAAAGCACTGACACAAACACATCCACAAACACACTCATGCGTGTGACTCAGATACACCTGGCTATCACACGTCACATTTTTAAAAGCACAGTTTCATTTCTCAACAGAACCGTGAAATGCTCCGGATCAGTGGATACAGAAGGCATGTGGCTGAGTGATTATGAATCAATACAAAAGGACACAAGCTGATGCTAATAAAGATTAGGAGAGCGCACCCCGCAATGCCAACTGATTTCAACACTTTTTCCAAACAACCTTTATCTGTAACCCACCATCCCACACCCAACGAGAAGTCTAATGCAACTATGTCCAAAAACAGTCATTATTTACAGCCTCACACAATAGCTGGCAGCTTGTCAGCTGACAATTAAAGCATGTATGAGACCAAATAGATTTGATTCAGGCTTGTTCCTATTCCACCTTTCCTGTCCATTTCTAATGTGTTTTCTGTGATAAAGCTGAAATGCCTTCATCTTCATCTGCAGTCTCATTAGCCTGCCTGGTGGACTGGCGAATTATTTGGGTCTTAATGATATCTGTGTCACCCATTAGCTGTGGTTAACTGATCAAAGTACAAGGCAGGAATTCACACTGTTTCACACAGGAAGAAAGAAACAAGAAGAAAAGGCATTGGCACAAATGTGGGCATATTTTATATTTTATTACAAACATTTACAACAAGTACAGCAGCACTGAAAACAAATCTAATAACAGTATTTACAAGAGAAACCCAACGGTGAGGGAGAGACAAGTCATGGGCCAGCAGACTGTGTCCTTACTTTCTCAGATACTTTATGTAAGTGTCCTTACACACACACACACACACACACAGAAATACACAGTATATACACATTTTTACAACACAAGCAAACACTAGCTGGAATGTAAACTGGAGGACTCGGACTCTGTGGTCGTAGAGGCCCCGGGGCGTCTTCGTGGTAGAATCTTCAAACTGGAGGCCCGGCTCAGTGTGAGGGCTCTGCGGGCTGAACTCTTGAACCCAGCCCCCAGGAAGGCGTACAGCAGCGGGTTCAGGCAGCAGTGAGCAAATGCCATGGGCTCAGCCACCGCCAGCCACACGCGCAGGACGTTCTCTAGGCTGCAGCTGCGGGGCAGGATCTCCAGGCGCAGCAGAGCATCCACAGAGATGCCCGCTCCATAGGGCAGCCAGCACACGAAGAAGCAGAGAACCAACGCGATGGTGGTCCTTACCGCACGCCGCTTCTGCCTCTGGCCTCCCAGAGGGCCTCGGGTCAGTCTGGTGACAATGACGCAATAGCACACCAGGAGGACCAGGCCTGGGATCACCAGACCCACCAGGACCAGCTGGAGGTGGAAGACTGCAACCCAGAGAGGAGCATTGGCTTCTGGGTAGAATCGCTGGCACAGAGTGGCCCCTTCTCCTCCTTCTTGAGTCCGGGCAAATATCAAGTCAGGCACTGCCAGGAGGCCAGCAGGCAGCCAGGCACCTGCAGGGAGAGAAGAAGATGAAAAGAAGTAAGGGACTGTGGGAGTTAGAAGTAAGAAAGAAGAAGAGTGAATGGTTGCATCAGCAGAAATCAGTCTATTCGACACTTACCCACATAAACCAGTCTGTGTGCCAGCAGCTGCCTCAGCCCACCGGTGTTAGTGTCCGTGGCTCGGACCACTGCCAGGTAGCGGTCCAGGCTGATGAATGCCAGGATGAGCACGCTGCCGTACAGGTTGACGGTGTAGATAACGTGCACACCGATGCAGGTGGCCGCTCCGAAGCGCCAGTCAGACAGGGCTGCCTCCACGGCCCAGAACGGTAGTGCCAGGACAAAGAGGAGATCAGCAGCTGACAGGTGGAGGCGGTACCGGTCTGTGAGACTGCACTTTGACCTGTGGACAAACACAAGAGAGGAAATTCAATCATTAAGACACACATAGATTCACTGGAAGCGAATAAACCACCAATAACTTCACACATCCTCTCACCTGCGTTGGCAGCCCAACACTATGACGACCAGGCCGTTTCCGGTGATGCCCAGGGTGAAGATGAGCGTGAAGACCACAGGCAAGAACACCTGCTGCAGGTCAGCAGTCATTATGTGCGCCACATCACAAGGCTCCTCAAGATCGCTCCCCATGTCACCAGAACCAGAACCTGATCCTGTGTCATTGTAGTCAAAGACGATATGCTGCAGACAGATGGTAGATGATGATGATGAAGGTCACAGAGCGAGGAAGGAAAGGAAAAAGCAACATCCTAAACACAGATTGAGAATTGCGACTAGACAAACAAACAACCTTACCTCATAGTAAGACATGATGGAGGCAGTCCCCTCTCCTTTCTCAGCGGAGTGAAGTTGAGGTTTCGGTCTACAGGGGTTATATAGTTGTGTTCATGCTCCTCCTCCAAACACTCCAACACATCTGTGTTACTGCTGAAACGTTTTTCCTGTTTTCGAGGTGTCAGGTGCTGATAGTGGTTCTATCACAGGATACTGTGTTGTGTGTGTGTGCACTGCTTGAATTGTTTTGGCCTGAGACCTCTGGTTTGTGATTATCAGATCTATAGGCAATAGGCAATAGGAAAGGCTGCCGATGAGAAACAGACAATGTAAAGTGTGTGTGTGTGTGACAATATCTCTCCAGACTCCAGGCTCCATTAGCAGGAGTTTCAGCTCTCACTGGGGTGTGAATATACTTGTATTTGCGTCAGTCTTATATGTATGCCGATGTATGCACGAACCTGCATGAGATGGAGACACAGAGACGCAGGCGGAGGAGGACAAGGAACGTGGTATTCTGTAGGTGAATGGGAGATGATTATCTGCTCTGAACTGGCAACGCTGTAAGACTCTCTCTGATCTTTCACTGTCAGTGAACCGTGAGTGTGTGTTTGTGATATTAGTGTGTTGCCATCCTGAGAGCATAATAACAGCAATGCTTTAACATCAGTGCGAGCAGGAGCACATTCCTCTGGAGACTCCCATTATGGAGTGTGAACCTGGAGTGTAGTAGTGTTTAACAGAATACATAAATCAATTGACAAATTTAAAATAATTTTTTAAAAATAAAAGAGGATTCAATTTGCAAGTTAATAATTTTCCTCATTCTGTCTTTAAATGAACACATTATTGAATTTTAAAACAAGATAGCAAATTTAAATCGTTTAAATTCCATTTTAACTTACAGATGTGTCTACCAAATTCCATTTCACAATTTCTTTGCTTCCAACTTTAACATTTACAGTTTCCTTTTCATGGCCGTTTTAATTTAATAATGTGTAAAGCAGCACAGAGCAACAGCTAGAGCTCTGATTGGCCAGTTGCTATGCGTCGGCAGGAGTCTGGCCAATCAGAGCACCCACTGTAGTGAATGTTGAGGTAGTACACTGCTTACATCCAAATGGAGTGTGAAAAGGTTAAATTAGATTTAACTCCATATTCTACTTCCACATGTGCGATGCCGAGTCTGTCAGCAGACACATTTCCTGGCTTGGCAAAGGCAGTTCTGACGGTAAATCCCCATCCTCTCCCATAAGTAAACAGCAGCACCCACCCCCCCAAAAAAACACAGTCAAACCATCAAGACTGGACCCTTATCTCTCTCTCATTTTCCCCACCCTTCCTCCACATATACTGGTATCAGCAGAAACATCTCAAAAATAACACTGCTGTGTAAACCTGTGGAAAACTGACTGGTGTGTAAGACCCATTCCCGTTTATCTTCAGCAAAATGGTGCAGATAACTTGGTAAACATTCTTGAAACAGACGCCAGAACTGACTATTAACTGGGGTTGTGCTGCTGAGCTTTTTTTTTTTTTTTTAAAGGTGTAAATAATTCCATTCACTAAAGACTGCGTTAGTCATTGTGCATACTGCCTCAGTTAATGATTGTTAATGTTATTAATTACACCGGTGATGGAATAAGTCAAACTGTCCTATATAAAAATGCATTGGGCTGATATACTGTAGCTGGAGTGCTAAATCCTTCAGGAGGTGGCGCCACCATGTGGGAGTTTAGAGAAAGGGTTTTACACTGCACATACTACAGACCAGAAGAAGAGTCTAAATAAACCAAATCTCTTCACTGTGTTTACAGAACTCCTCTCCACAAACAGTCATCAGGAAATATTCATTCATGTACTATTCTTGGTAAATGCCCACTTATTGCGTCAAGGACCCCCAAACTGATGCACATCAGGTCGTGGACCTGTATTTGATAAGATGTTGTCTCAGGGGTTCTGTAACTGTCTATGCTGTGAAACCTATGAACAGAATGGTAATTCTTATACATTCTCTCATTGAGCTAACTTTTAGTCAGTGACATATTGAAATTAAAATATTTTCCCCATTTTTCTGTAGACCCCCATGGTTCCTTGAGCAGGTGCCCAGAACCCACTGGAACCCAGGCTGAGAACCACAGCTATATTACAAATCCTTATAGTGTTTCTAGTTTTTTCTTTTTTCAACATACCTTATTATTTATACCAAGAGGAAATGACACAATCATATGCTGTTGGACTTCAGACTGTCACTTAAAATATTCATTCATTCTTTGCCTTTCTGAGTACAGGAATATATATATATATATATATAAATATGACTGAAGTACACCGTACTTCATATTGTCACTTTTTTGTGTGTACAGGAGATGGGAATTTTAAATCTGTCATAGGGGTCATGGCTTACAGTTATAAAAAAAAGCATTAACGTAAAAACACATTTATTCAGTTATCCTGTTGTATGAAACTTTAAATAAATGCCATTTAGAAATTTATGAAAAAATAAATAACGTGCAAGTATTTGGAGCTGCAGGAGAACTTTGCCACTAAACTCAGATAGAGATTTGACTTCAATAAATAGGTATACGACTCCATATAAATGACAACAATTAATAATTACAGACCGGTATTCAGAACAGAACAACAGCCCGACTTAAACAACACTGAACATAACAAAAAACGAACAAATAAAAGCTGCATCAGCACTTTTTACCGCTGTAGTGGTGAAACTGTAAACTGCTTTAAAAAAAAAAGTCAGGAGTCGCCTCGCTAACGGGTTTCTCTCACGATCATGCTGCTGTTGCCACGCAACTGGAAGAGCAAGTCTCTGAATCCACAAGTCTTCTTTTGTTCTTTCTGCTTGGTTGGGACGTCTCTGGGTTTGGTGGTTTCCAGGGTAACTTCGGAGGGAATCAACTCAATGGTCTGATCTGTTTCTTCTGGACTGTCCACGTCTTGGTCGCTCCACTCCTCAAAACCAGCACTGCTACTGTGACCAGTGGTCGGGTGAAGACCAATACTGCTGTGTTGGCGGCGATTGTTGCTGTGGAGACGCTGCTGCTTGGCGACACGAGGACCCTGAGAATCCTCTCGTGCCCTCTTCCTCCTGTTCTTCCTCCTCCCCCTTTTCAGTGGAACTCTGACACGCCGCCTAAGGTTCCTGAGACAGAAAACGCAGCATGTTGAGGTCATTTTTGATGACAGTGGAGTCGATATGGGATTTTTGAGATTGATGTTAGAGGGGACAATGTACTGATTACCAATTTGGCAGCCGCAATAGTAAAGTTTTGAAAGTAACCTGTTTTATGTGGATTGTGCACCGGTTTTGCACCAATATGCAATGGCATTCAAATAACAATAACAGATAACTTTATTGAAGAATGTTAAAATTAAATATTCTTTAACATTTAACATTAAATAATTTAAAATATACATTGTCAACCAATTCCAGTTGACTTTGCTGAGAACTGCTTCTCCCTTACTCTGTGCTGCTTGTCACAATATTGTAAATCACAACGCACGCTGCTGGATAAACTTTGCATTGGCACCAATATATTACCATGCATTTTTCCTGAATTATATACTGGAAAAAAACTGTTTTCATACCAGCGCATATCGGATAACAAATCTGCCAATATCAGCCGATATATATCAGCTTACTGATCGCCTTTGCCACTGCAGGGAATGTGTGTTATGCGTACAGATACATTACCTCTGAAGGAAAGCGTGTGGCCTCGAGCAGGCTGACGATTCATGCTCTCCCACACATTGCTCGATTCGCTTTGCGCCGTTCTTGAGTCTTTTCTTCACCAGTTGTACATGGGTCAAAAGCTTCCTGACAAAACAGAGAGGTGCGGCTATAATCACCTGACAGCACATGGGTCTGCTTGGCTACTGCTGTCCACCTTAGAGCCACTACTCCATACACACAAGCACCTCTTCTTACCCTCTCGCATTAGGCAGCCTCCTCGGTCTCCAGTCCTTGATCAGGACCCACTGGTCACATGTGAGGGACTTGGGGTCTACAGAACAAACCAGACAGAAGGGGTCGAACATGTTAGGATGCTTGTGTGCACTGAATCACAGCTAGCAGTGGCTTCCTCCGACGGAGGAGGAGACGGTGTGAGCGTGGGATTACATCAAAACGCTGAGGTGTGAAATTGGCAAAACATTTAAATAAAATGAATTTGCCGTAGCAGCAACCACATTTCCCCACACAGACATTAGACTGTGCACACTCACCATTGTCTGAGAGTTTATTTTTAAGTGGTGTTTTTATCTTCTTTGCCTTCTGGTAAAGCTTGCGGCAGGCTGAGCACACGCCCTGCGAGGGCCTCGCTGTCTTGGGCGTGTCGTTGTGTCGGAGGGAAGGACCGGAAGCAATGCTGCTGGTGACGGATTGGTCATCTGACTCTTCCACTCCTTCATCAGCCACCTCTACAAACTGCCCTTCATCTTCCTCAACATGTTCAGCATCATCTGTACTGTCGATGATGTCGATGATGTCACGGTCGCTCCCTGCGCTGTCACTAGCTTTGGTCTTCCTCAACCCTATCCTCTGCCTCTTACCCCCCAGCCTGCCCTGGGTAACTTCTTCGTTTGGGCTGGGGCTTCTCTGGGGGCTCTTCTTGGAGGCCTTTGTTAGTCTGGAGGAGCGTCGGGGAGACATGGGTCTTTCCCACTTCACACAATACTGAAATGATCTGTGAGAGAGAGCGATAGCGACTATCTGTGATAAAGCACCTATAAAATGTCATACACAGGCATGTGATCTCTAAGGTGCTTCATCTTATTTCACAATTTAACTGAAGTCACAGGCTGAAATCGTTCATATAATCACCTATAATATTCTACTCTTATGGACGATGTATGAACGAACATCTCCAAGTCATCTGCTTCACACCCACTGTCAGTCGCAGGCCTGCAATTTGAGCACAAACCATTTTAATGATAGATAATCAAAGAGTGGAAAGGAAAGCAGTACTATGATGAAACACTACGTTTCCCACAAGCTTACTGTGTGTCAAGTAGTCTGTGGTCATGTGATTAAACGGCACTTTATATAGGAATATGCATCATGTAACGTTAAGTACAATATCAACTGATTACTCAGGGCCTCAAGAACAGATAACGTTTGGTAACTTATGTAAGTTAGAGCACTTGAGGTGCTTATCGATTAGCTGCTGTTCCGGTGTTGAATATTCCCAAACTAAATCAATCGAACACCGACTGATACATCGATCCGTGTCGGTCTGAGGCCCTGATCCTTTATGAACTAACTTAACATTAACGTTAACGTTAACGTACAGCTCCCGGTGTACACACTAAATATATACACTTAAATATCACTGTCGTTTAGTTAGCTAGGTTTAGCATATAGGCTAAGCTAGCCAGACCATAATAAACACTAAACTGAAGGCTGATCCTGGACCAGCTCTGAGTTAGAGCCTCTAACGTTAGAGCTGCGACTTACTTCGACTCAGACCGATCACCGTTAACGGGATTTGACCGGTTCATAACGGCTTCAACGGACACCTAACTCAAACTAACGTCGCGAGGCGCTTACTTGTGAACATATTGGCTCGTGCCCCGGTGAGCTCGCGGACCCCGGGTGTTGTTGTGAGCTCGAGGATCAATTTGAACATGCGCGCGGCGGAAGAAGACTCTCCATCGAGCAACTTGTGGATTCTTCTTCTACTGTTTTTAATCCCACACAGTGGCGCCACCAACTGGACGACCGCTGAATGGTAGAAAGTGACCTTACACACCCCTTAAAAAAGTAAAGGCAGGGTTTAATTGCTTACCACACTTTTAAGCAGGTTTTAATGACTTTAGCACCATGTTAATAGCAGGTTTAATGAGTAACGCACTGTTTGACTGCAGTCTCTGTCCTTTATGCCTCCCAGCCTTATTGTGCTGTTATACTGTAACGTTATGTGAGTGTTGTCTCTCTTTGTTAGCTCTGTGCTCCCGTTTTGTCCACATCGCTCTCTGTGAGTCAAGAAGACACTTGCTGGTTAAATAAAAAAACATTCAAGAAGCAGATAATTTTAACTCAAGTGTCATATTGTGTCATATTGTTGTGTAAAATCCAAACATACATATATTATAAACAATCTTCATGTTAAAACTGTCACTGACATAGACAGAGACACCACCTGGTCCCGGCTTCTCTATACGTCCGTTGTGGTAATTTAATGAAGCACAGTTTATTGGGATATATGAGTGCAATAGGCCAGCAAACATTTGGTCATTTGACACAGTAGCATAGCCATAAATATTAATTTAGGAGCGCCTGTGGGATATAATATGTGCAAGAACCAATGCAACAAGTGATCTGAAGATCAATGATGTTTTTTACTCTTATTTTAAGATGTTTTATGATTATGGCTACGCGGGTGATTTGACAGATTGAAAAGCACAGGTCTAAAAAATATGGCTGAATTCCATTTAGCTGCTTCATTTTAAGGTTCCTGGTAGCGTGGTTAGGGTGATATGCTGACTCACTGTCATGACTCACACAGAGACACTTAAATATAACAGAGCCACACGTGGGATTTTCCTAACACGACAAGTCAAAATGTCTGCTGTGAAAAGGCAAATGCAGGACAAGAAGAAGGAAAACAACTGCTTCTGTATCTCATGGTCATTGCACCATCGTTACATTTTCTGACATACTGGATCACAAATCTACAGGTTTGATGTAGGCAGGCATGGGATATTTCTTTCTGTGAAAGGGATTAACGTCTCTCCATTGTGTATGAACTGGATTGTACAACAATGCAGAGCAGGTAAACAGGTTTAAACTGTGCAGTACTTTATAAAAGTGGAGAATACAATGCAATACAATACAATGCATATAAAAACAAACACTAGTGTTTGAAAAAATCAAAACTCCAGCAACACTTGCAGAATAAAGAACAACTTTACTGTCGGAGCAACTCAACAAGCGGTCTTCATCGGGGTCACCGCTGCCTTCAAGCCACATGACCATTGCAAAGTTGTGACAGAAATCCTTACTCTCTGCTGTTTCCCCCACTGATTTCCCCCCCAGTCCCTCAGGTGCAGTCTCAGTTGTGATTGTGTGCTGTCATTGATATCAGTAAATCTAATTACACTGTAACTGAATCGCTGAATGTCCCATATTTGCTAGTACTGCAATTGTCGCTCTTGTTTAAGTGAGGACTTTGAACACACACAACCCTGCATGCTAATTCACAGAGGAATTTCAACAGCTCACACAGAGGAGCCTGAAGGTAGGTAGGGGGGAGGGTGGTTTACAGGAGCATTCATAAGGGTATAAGAGGGAAACCTCACTTTGTCCCACGTTTTAGTCTGTATTGGATTCAGTGAGCTGTAGACGTGGAGGACAGACAACAATGTGGAAAGCTGTTTTTTTTGTGCTCCTGCTGCTAAACACGGACGTGCAGGTGAATGGGGCTGTAGATAAGAGTAGGGGGACTGTGGCAGAAAACCCCAGGCCAGAGAAGAAGGTGAAGGCAGAAGAAGCTGAAGGCACCAACACAGTTCCTGCAAGCAACTCTGCTTCCTCAGGTTTTGTGGGGAAATTGCTGGTGGTCCCCATGGATGGGAGTCACTGGGTGGGTATAAAGGCCCTTGCCCAAGAAATGGGTCGGCGTGGACACCAGGTCACTGTGGTGATACCAGAGATTAGCGTACGGATGGGTCCAGGGAAACACTACGACACTGTGACCTATCCTGTTCCTTATGAAAAGGCTTTTATTGATTTCGTCATGTCCTCACACAAGGACATAATGAAGAAATCTGCACAGCCTTTCGTGGAGAAGATAAGGAAACGATTCTCACAAATGCAGAGAATTACAAACTTTATCCACACCACGGCGGAAAGCCTGCTGTTCAATGCCAGTCTCATCTCACATCTGGCACAGCAGGTGAGTACAAAGACAGAGGTTGGACACAACATCAGGATCAGGTGTAAAATCCAATAGAATTCAATACAATAGCATTACATTTTAACTTTGAATACTAAATTTGTGAGGCATTAGTTTAGACTGCATCTACTACTCTTGACCTACCTTTTGGGGCTGTTAATGTATTGGAGTGTATTGTACTGTAAACTGTGATTTATTGTATACAACCCCTGTATCTACTGAAGCTGGGACAGTGGTAGAAGAAGTCCTTACATCCCTAATTTATGCAAAGTACTGCAAAAGTACACTGTGACTGATATATTATTATATGACATTATTAGATTGCTAATATTAGTGGACTGCATTGGGTGTTGTTGTGTTCTTGGTTTGAGAAAGGACCTTAAAGGAAGTGTAGTCTTCAACTTCTTTTATTTGAGAGAATAAGTAAATAGGTCCGCAGGATCAGGCACCAGGAGCACAGTCTGCTCCCCCCTTTTAGTTTGTTATTCTGGATGTCATCCTTTACTGATTAGTACATGTGTCACTATTTTTATGCGTCCTTATTTTGGCAGAGGCAGTTTCTTTGTATAATTTTGCAATGACCACTGTCTACACTCTGCCAATCACCTCCCAGGCTTGAGGTACTAAAATTGTATCAAAACAGTGGGTGCTTCACCAGCTTATTGATTATTTAATTTAATTTTGAGTAAATGACGGCTCAAGGCTCAATGTGTTTCTCATATTAGAGAGACTATTCTAAAACCTGCAGACAAAGGTCACCAAGATTAACAGGAAAGACCTGTGATTGTGTCAACAGAATATTTCCCTGCACAATGCCTGTTTTATAAAATAAAAGCGAAGCAAGTTACTGACACAGTGAAATAATGTCTAAATGTCTATTGTGACTGACTATGAAGACTTTTTTTTATCCTCAAACCTAAAAATAAAAAATTGACTCCGAGAGGATTCCTTGAGACAAAATTGAGGGTCCAAGGTCTAATGTGCATATTCATTTGAACATTTGCAAATGAATTCCCCACTTGCAGACAAGAGAACACCTAGAATGAAGTTCAGTATCCATATTTCTACATACAGTCTCATTTGTCACAGAGCATTTCATCATCTTCAGAGAGTAACATTCGACCCTCGTTTGATACACAGGTGCTCAGTTGCACAGTTGTTCATTGTATCTTTCTTTCCAGGGAGTTTCCCTGTCTGCCTCTGTCTGCTGAGACTAAAAGCGCTGAAGGCTGAGTCTCATACAACTTCCCCCTGGGTAGCATTCAGCAACTGCTGCGAAGCCGACAATCAGCTGTTTCACACAGAAGCAGAAAAGACAAAATATCACCCAATGTTCAAAGCAGTTTAACATAAGAAAGATTAAATGTTAGAAACCAGCAGTTTAATCTTTGACAATGCATTGTATGTAGAAGTTTATCAGACTGTATGTTCTGATGTCAAATCTACAAAGTAACTATAGCGATCATATAATCGTGGTAGAATCAAAGGTATAACAATTTCAAGACTAATCTGCAAATGCAAACTTTTCTGGTTCATTTTTGAACTGCATTTTTTATCATAACCTGGCATTGCCTGACTAATACAGAAGTAAGAGCGAAACAAATTGAGCAAATCCAACATGAGCTCAGCAGATTTGTCTGTTTTCCAGGCTAGTAGAGCGTAGCATCAAGTAATGTACTTGCTTTCCACCACTGAGTTGGACTGAAAAAATGAGCTGTCACATGCTTCTTATCTTCTGTATAATAAGTGCATGAGTGTATGAAATAGGAGGTGCGTTATTAGTGCCTACTGTTTAAGATTCACTTTTTCCTTTGTATATTTTCACCTTGCAGGGCTTTGATGCCGTCTTAACAGATCCCATGGTGCCCACAGGCTCCTTAATAGCTCGGAAATTTGGTAAGTTCTGCCACACTTTATCTGTGTCCTTACTAGTCTGTACAGTTTCTCACCGGTCATCATTAAATCACTGTCAGGTGTCCCCACTGTTAATCTGCTGAGAGGAATTCCATGTTCCCTGGATGTGAAGTCTGCAGGCTGCCCCTCCCCGCCCTCATACGTGCCTCGCTTCTTCACCGGATACACAGATAAAATGAGCTTCAAACAGAGGACTATCAACACTTTGGTGAGCACGCGTGTGCGGGTGCATGTGCATGCAATGAAGGAAGGCTATGTTTTATTCTGTAAAATGAACTCTGCTGTGAACCTCAGATTAACTAATCCCTTTACTTAATATTTCCAATTTATTTAGCTATTTGTCACATCATTCTACAGAAATAGGTATTTGTGTGATTCCAGGTCATAAGTGTGACAATGTAAGTAACGATGACCCAGTTAAGCTTGGACTTCAGTTCCAGCTCAGTTAAAATGTAACTAAAATTCAACTCTTTTGCCAAGCAGGCACTAACGCCTTCCTTTGTGAAACTGTTCATTGTTCTGTGATGCCTCTGACCTACAGGTGGCTCTACTGGAGCCGCTGATGTGCCGAGTGCTGTATTGGCACTTTGACCACATAGCTTATCAGTTCCTGGGAGAGGAGGTGGGAATTGCTGAAGTGCTGTCAGAATCTGCCATCTGGCTGCTGAGGTACAAAGGCTGCCTATTGATTTTTTGGAAGAAGAATACACGTTAACCTAGCTTGTAGAAGTATTTGCCACAAAATCACACAGAGAGAAAAAAGACACTAGATTGTTTGTCTCATATTCAGATATGTTGTGATACTGCATTTAAACAGGACTGACGCCATACTGGAGGTCCCACGCCCTCTCATGCCTAATATGGTACAGGTTGGCGGAATCAACTGCAACATGAGAAATCCTCTGCCTGAAGTGAGACCATGTGTTTTTGGTTCTGATGAAAAAACATTTAGTTAATTTATATTATCTCTGACTTCCTCCTCACCCTGCCTTTTTAATGCAGGGAGATGGAGAGATAGTGTAAGAGAAATGAATGCCAGGTCCTCTGTGTGTGTGTGTTTGCAGGATTTGAAGTCCTGGGTGTCAGGAGAGCATGGGTTTATAGTGTTCACTCTGGGCACCATGGTGTCAGATATGCCAGAAGAGACAACCGCCGTCTTCCTAGAAGCCTTCAGACAGATTCAACAGAAGGTACATTAATCTCAAATGCAATTCATACATCAATGCAATAACCAAAAAGCAATATTAACACTTCTTTTGATAGGTGATATGGCGGTACACTGGGCAGGTTCCTGCTGGTGTCCCGGAAAATGTGAAGATGATGGAATGGGTGCCTCAGAATGACCTACTAGGTCTGTAAACACAAACTACTCAGAACTGACAGGTCATGTGTCACATACCATAACATCAGCCATCTTCCTGTGTGTGTGTTGTGTGTTAGCACATCCTGGAGCTCGGGCTTTCATCACTCACGCTGGCTCGCATGGTCTCTTTGAGGGACTGTGTCACGCTGTTCCAATGGTGATGGTACCAATTTCCGGGGACCAGCCGGACAACGCGCAGAAGCTGGCGAGCAAAGGAGCGGGAGTGGTGTTGGATATTTTTTCGATCACTACAGAGAGCCTTCTTCAGGGGCTGAATGACATCATCAATGACACCAGGTAAGGGGTCAGAAGGTCATTTAACAGAAGCTCCTTATATCTTGGAGCCAATTATAAGTATAAAAGAAGTTTTGACATCCGCTTTACATACTAAATACTTATGTTGTACTGTTAAACTCTTCTCCATGTCCAGGTATAAAGAGAATGTGCAGAAGCTGTCAACTCTCCATAAAGACCGTCCAGTTGACCCACTGGATCTTTCAGTGTTTTGGACAGAATTTGTGATGCGGCACAAAGGAGCAAAACATCTCAGACCTGCTGTCCATGACCTCAACTGGCTCCAGTACTTCTGCCTGGATGTAATAGCGCTACTGGCTACTGTAGTGTTGGTTTTTGTAATACTGACAGTAAAATGCTTGAAACTATGCCTCAGGAAATTGGGCAGGAAGAGGAAGCAGGACTAATATGGGGTTCCATTTTCACCTTCATCTCAGCAACGACACAGTTGAAGCCCCCCTCCACTTTCTTGTTCCTACAGTTGAATGTTCTTCACTGTGCAGAGTGATGTATGTACAGTTTGACACTAGAAGGATGTTTTCACAAGTGCAAAGTTTATCTGTGCTCACTGAAAATCTGATTTTTAAGGGGCAGGGCCTATGAGCATGATTTGTGACATCACAAATAGTTTGGAAGTCAGTCCCGGTCCAGTATTCAACTTATACACTGTGATATAGAAACTTGAACCTGTGCACATACACTGAGAATGGACTTCACACTGAAGGAGGAGACATCTTGTGTCCAGCAGGAAATAATTAGAAATGAACCAAATTTGTATATTCAGAGACTTTGGAATTTTTAATGGGGTAGAGGTAGTGATGACTTTTTAAGAAATGTGGAAATTATGTTTTTTTTCCACATCTGACACACATTATTGTTCCAAACAGACTGTTTGTATGTCTTAATGCATGTCTGGAGTTTATCTTTAAGGGAGATATAAGTTATTATATCAATAAACATTAGTGAAAAGTCAAGTTGGTTAGGGTTTAAATGTTTAAGAGCAATAAGGGAAGCCATGGGGTGATCACAAAAAAAACATTTAATAAACAGAAAATACATTATAGTATCAGACTCCATTATGTTCTGAGCTTGAGGAAGAGTGATGATCATTTGTGGTCACCCTTCTTTGGTGGGAACAGGACGTACTCTACAGCCAGAGCAACTGTAAAGGCAGCAAAGCCCCACTTGAATCCACACAGCACAACATCACCCAAAGTCACAGCACGAGCGAAACCCCCTGTATATCTCCAAGCCTCATTACTGCAGAGGGAGAGTGACAAAAGACAGAGAGCAGGGTCAGAAAAATCTGAATTATTAAAACGATCAGATATATTTCATATAGGTTTAAAAACTGACCGTGCCCATGGATCCTTGAGGCCCCTCCTTGCCAGCCTCTGCTGTGTGACCTCCAGTGGTGTTCCTTGTACCTTCCACAGCCGCCAGTCTGGCAGCTTTGGGTGGCCCCCGTGGTCACCTCCCATGCTGAAAACAGACACAGATATATGCAAGTTGGCAGTGGCTGTTAATGGTAATTATTGCCCCTTAGCTGTGCCATTGGGCCTGCCTGAAATAAGCCAAGTTTTTTCAGAATTAGAGCAAAGTGAAAATATGAGACACGCAATAATACATGTCTAATGCACAAGGACTCTTCAATCCAGGCCCAAACATATTTCCCCCAAACAACAGAAGGAAAGTTTTACTTTAAAAATGTCCACACCTGAACCACGGCATAGATCGCAACCTACAGGTGATAAGTGCTGACTCTATATAATATAATATAACACATTGTTATTAATATTAAGGCAAAAAAGTGTATTTCCGATTCTACCTCGATTTCATTTTGACCAAAGCTGTTGCTTATTTTTGCAAACGGCTCGTACATTCAAAACAATGATGAGAGAGACATGAGAGCGTCATCTTAGTTAAATTAAATAATAATGATGTAAAGATACACAACTTCATTTTCCTTTCCAAAGCATATAATTAGCACAGACATTTGGAAAAACTCTCCCGTCAGGTGGAAGTATTTAGGACCTGACCTTATGGAAGTCAAAGCACGCCTGCTGTCTCTCCACATTACACTGACTCAACACACATTTTGGATTTCTCAGGACACAACTCTCGTCGTCATTTATCTTATTTTTAATAAAATGGAAAGAAATAAATTTTAAAAAAGGCATTATTATAAGTATCTCAGGACGGCACTATTTAGGTCTAAAGTCAGACATTTAAGTCAAAAGTTTTAAAACAATACATTTCTCTGAGCAAGGCTTTCATTAGATACTACAAACTGTACATTATTCTGGCTATTTCACTTTAATACTGTTGGCCCTGAAACTAAGTTTCTTCACTAAAGTGAGAATAAGCATTTTTCTATACAAAGTAATCTATATTGAACCTAATTACAACCACTAATGTTACATCACAGATAGGGATGGATGATAATGATTGGGGACGATAAATTATCAGCTGATAATGGGAAATATATATTATAAACAACCCCCATTATTAAATTATAGCTGATATATAATTGGTCCATCATTTATTTCAAATCCTTAAGCAAACTGATTGATACACTTTATTTCACTTCACTAGACAAAACAAATGAGCACTTGAAGAGTCAGAACTGTAGTTTGTTTTTTTGTGTTAACAATAATAAGGTCAGCTAGATTTGGTTAGAACAGCTTAGACTTTCTTACCAGCAGGTGTGTAAAGACTATTACTATTATTTTTGTCTTGTATAACAAAGATAAAATGTAATCCAAAATGCTGTAAATAAAATGTTACATTTCAATGAATGCCACATTATAATGTGTAGTGTTTTATTTCTCTCAGTTTTGATAAAACCATGGGTCCATTCAACCCCTGGCCTTATTAAACGGATGTTTTAATAATGTCGGTGGCGTTAACTGTGTACTGTTAATAAAAGCACACAAAGAAACTAACTTAAGTGCTGATTGTTCACCTGCTAAAGTTCACTGGTGTTATTTAACATTTGACACGTCTCATCAGTGACACCTGAATCCAACCGATCACTTAGCTAACTCTCCTACCTGCTCAAATCAAACCCTTGGTATATATAATGAGTCCAATAGTTTATAAAAGCAGAGAGCAGGCGAACCGCTGTTTATCAAAGGTAAACTAAATGCTAGCTACGTTAGCTGGCTGGCTAGCAGAGGAAACACTAGGTAGCTCGTTGTGAGCCGCATTATCTACACCTTCGTGTAGTGTTCAACACAGTGTCGATGCCCACTGTGTGAGAGCGATACAACATGGGTCAGACATGTAAGATTTATCTACAAACACACTGTACCTGTATAGTTTGTTGTGACCTCTGCTGCTGGCCTGAACCTTCCTCCGCTTCTTCTTCTTCCTGTTTATTGCAATATGAATTTACAGCTGCCTACCGCCTCCTACCGTACCAGAGGATGTATAACCGCATGTACTTAAGTTTACATTAGTCTATGAACAAAATAAATACAGAAAATAAACAGAAGATAAATCTATAAGCCCTCTCTATATGTATTTGGTACAGTGCAGTATTACATGTTCAACTTCTTCACTTATATTACAATACACTAGTGAATTTACCTTACCCAATAAAACCAATGTCTTATTTGAACCAGTGTGATCAAATCTGAATCTCCATATACCTCATCTCTTCCATTTCTTCCTTTAATACTTTGTGCTCTAACTGTTTTTATACTCTATATTATGTTCCACTCTTGCTGTTTCTCTCACCTTTTTTTGTTTGTCACATTATTTTCATATTTCCTGTTTGGTTAGTGTCTAAAACTTTCATTATATTCTTCATATTTAGTGCTCTTTTAGCCACCCGTCTGCAAATTCATTACCATTAATTCCCACGTGCAGGTACCAGACAAAAACAAAAAAAAAATGTTCTGTTGTTCTATCAGTTTGCTCATGTAAGGCAGTAGCTGATGAGCATTAAAAAATAAAATACAATATTACTAATGCACAATTCTTATTATTCTGTATATATACTGTAAATATGAATTACTATTCAGGATGACCAGATTCTATCCTAATGTAAATACGTATTAACTCTGAACATGCCTCTAGATTATTTTAGATATATAACAGATATAAATTTAGTGACAAAAAATATTTTATTAGTCTTTTATTATCCAAAGCCTTTTCATTTCTTGTGTATTTTCCATTAAACATTAAAAAAGAAAGATATTCCATGATATAATACAAAGAAACATACATTAAGATGTAATGTAAAGCATCTGTTCACCACACATTACTGAATCTTTATACATTCTTGATGATCATCTGTGAGCCACAGTAAAGAAAAAGAGAGGTTTGAAAAACCATTTGCTATCCCATCTCACTGCAGGAGTCCAAGGTGCCAGCTAAAAAACTAAAGGTGATCTTGATTTTGACATTGTAGCTCCTGACTTTGAAACTCTCTGAAACTCTTTTCTCTCCATTTGTAAAGACATTTGTAGTCAAAAAACACTGTATGTTTATTTACCTACTTACAAAAGTATTGGAAAAAAATATTCTACATAAATTTCAACAGTTTATATCACCGCTCATCATCCAGGAATCTAACCAGACACTTGCTATTAATTAGATATACTATTATGTACACGTTTTGCACAATAAATCACATCATCTTATAAGCAGGCCACCATGGTGTCTTTGACAGTGCTTCAGGTGCCTGTGCACCTCAATGTCCATGATGCTTGTTGGCCAAGCATGTGTATGTGTTTATGCATTAGGCTAAGACCCTGCCACTCAAGTGAATTAGAGTTTGCTTTTGGGGTTGAGGAGGTCCTTCAGAGCGTCCAGGTTCTCCCCCTCTGGGGCATCAGGCCAAGCACTGTGGTCTGGAGACAAACAGGAATTTAGTATAATGTATAGTATCTGGTATGTACCGCAAAGAATAATGTGTGCATGTGTTAGAAAGTTGTACGTACTGGGTATCTCCCACATTGAGTGGTACAGACTTTGTCCTGCATCAACCCTCAGGGTGGCTCCAGAGATGTAGGAGGCAGCGGGAGAGAGCAGGAAACACACTGCTGATGAGATCTGAACAGAGACACACAGAGACATCCCTACTGACTGTCACACTGCAACAAAGCCACAAACACACATACTCTGTATCCAGTGCTCTTTAAGTATATAGGATGTTTACTGAGAATATCAGTTCAGTTTGACTTCCCATTATAATGCAGTTAAATGTGATGGAAATCATTTAGACTGAATCATTTAGGTGATTTTTCTGAACAGATACTGTGACACTGATGACAGATGTTTGCAAAGTGTTGCTCGGACTTTTGTTAACTTTGTTAAGCACTTTAAAGTCCCATTAACAACTGATATTTTCAAATTGTTCTGCATATGTATTACTTAAAAGAGGATTAAATGGTTAAAATACAACATTTTAAGTCTAAATATAACAAAGCTGCTCTGAGTTTCTGAGTGCCCTTCCTCAGGGTATTGTGCGTGTGACTACGGTTACACACCTCTTCGGGAACTCCCAGCCTCTTTGCAGGGCTAAATGGAACAGACATCTTGAAGAGACTTGGTCCAAACTCTTTGTAATTCTCCATTGCAGTTTTGGAAAAGATTGTGCCCTGTAACCAGACAAATACCCTTGAAATGACGACATACTTTAAGACCTACAACACTGACTCTACATTAACTTATGACCCGTACTTACAGGTGCAACAGAGTTGACTCTGACTCCAGAGGCTGCCCACTCGATGGCCAGACTCTTTGTCAAGTTGTCCACCGCTGCCCTCGCTGCTCCTGTGTGTCTGTCAGGGAGACGAGACACAGTGTTTCAACAAAAAAAGGGAAAAGGCGTGTGCAAGTTGTAAACTCAGGAGTGAAGTTGGAGGGTGGTGCCGCTTACGCCATGCCCGGGAAGCCTTTCCACATGTCAGCAATGATGTTGACGATCACACCTCCATGCTGTTTCATCCACGCAGCGTAGACTATGAGGACAGAACAGCAACACAGTCAGTCTGAGACCTTTAACAAACACACTGAAGCAGTGTTAGCGGCCTGCATCTTTACCCTGCTGGCAGCAGTGGAAGGTTCCAGTCAGGTTGGTGTCTATCACAGCTTTCCAGCCTTTAGAGGACATGTGTTCAGCTGGGCTGCTGAACTGACCTCCCCCATTGTTCACCAGGAAGTCTATCCTGCCGTACTGCTCCAGCACCGACGATACAAGAGCCTTCACCTGTCGCACAAGGAGTAAAAACACTGAAATCAGGCCATCATCAAACATGGAGCAGTTTCAGAGGCTGGCATGGCGTGTAGGCTCACCTCATCCTCATTTCGGATGTTACACAATAGAGGAGTGACACGTGCAGGACTGGAGGGAGGGATTTTCTGTCTCATCTCCTGGGCTGCTGCCTCCAACCTCTCTGCCTTTCTACTGGAGATCACCACACTGCAGCCTGAGGACACAATGGTTAGCATGACAGAACTATCATAACACAGTACTGATAGTTCACTCGGAGACACAATTTGTGTAGGCCAATGAGAGATGACTGCTGAATAAATCATTATGATGTAGTCTTTATTCAGTCTGATTATTGGGAACCAAAATAAAGATACAATAGAAATCTATTAGGAGTTGAATTTTATTGAGAGACAACATTTATTCCCACTAACACCTTTTTCAAATGTGTCATGTAACTCAGCCATGACAAACTCAGTGGGTTAAATAAGTCATGAAGTGCGAGGGGGCAACTTCGTGCAGGTGTTGCAGCAAATAATGTGACCCCTCAGATTGTGTGCCCGGATAAGGGTTTCTCTGTTGTCCCGCACTGTAAACGTTTTTTAATCATACTTTATCACATACATGATGTTGATAGCTGTTACCAAACACACAGTATTTTAACAGTGTCACAGTTTTCAAGGTCTTTGCTGGTCTGACTTCTTTCTGTGTCGAAGTTCACTTGTTGTCAGTCAGCTGCTCTTCACTTCGAACCGTCTGCACCGATGAAAATATATGTCTGTTGACCTAAAACACGGTTTCACTCACCCAGCTGCAGCAGCTCGGCGGAGATAGCTTTACCGATACCGGTACCTCCGCCCGTTACTATCGCAACTCTATGGTTGAACAAGCCCGGTCTGAAAACACTGGACGCCGCCATACTTGTTTCTTCAGTGTGCTGAGGACGAGCGCAGCACTACGCCCCCTGCTGGACACTTTACGACAGTAGGTGCCTTTGCTGTTCCAGCGCTGCCGTCTTCAGGGACTACACTGTTTATACATACATACATACACAATATATAGTTCAGTCCCCTCTTTACACTCTGTATGTAGACTGTACTTGATACAATGCATATATTTATACGATACTACAGGCAGTGAGATGTTTCAGTGGTCGGGATGCAACCTGCTGTTTGGTTTAAAAGAAAGGCTTATACATTAGAGCTGTTAAATGTCACAACTAAAGTTTAACAAAACCACTAAAAGAACTATTCTAATCTTTTTTTTGCCTCTAAATTGTTTTATTCTATAACTCTTACTGTAATTTTGTATTGTTTGTAAAGATCTATTACATTATCCATTCATTATTCTATTTGGTAACTAAAGAACACTTGACTTGTAGACATTTCATGTTATGGTCATTGTTGCTTTTTCTATACCCTTATATAAAACACCTACGTGTACGTACACAATACCTTTTGCCTTATTTGTTCAGTTTTCTTGTCCGTGCATGACACTTTCTATCTTCCCGAAACTGTTATTAAACTGTGTGTAAGTGCACAGAGCAATTTAAAATCACAATAAGTAATTATACACATACATACTATTTATACCTGTGCTGAAGCTCAGTCAAGAACTGTAAGATCCTCTGCACTTATTTGTATTAAAACACCAAGTGCCATCAGCGTATATAGTACTATAAGCATCAACCTCTTACAGTGAAATAAACCTTTCACTGCACTCTCTGGTGAAATGGCTCAACATTTGGGCGTGCCTGCGTCATGACAGCGAGCCAGCATGTGATGTCCCAAGAGCCAAGAACAGCAGACACTTACCATTATTAATAAGATTACACATTTGGTAAGTCAATATATATCTATTGCCTTGTTGATCCTTTCGGTTAAATATTTTAACCTTCTGCTCCAGTCAGTATTCATTTTGCTCGGGATTCAAAACAGGAGAAGGGCACTGTGGCTGAGTAAGGGGTTTGAAACTCTTAAGAAGACATGAGGTGCATAGATACCTCATCACTCTATATACATACTATTATCAAGTGAAAATGCCCATCAATCTGTGAGTTATTGATCTAATTCACTAAGAAAACGTTGCTGCTGCAGGCCAGGATAACCTCCTGTTGTGGCATCATAATATACACTAATGTACAAGGACAGTTGCTTTAGGTGGTGCAACCTTCTCACTCATGGAGGTCTGGTGAACTATCGTCTTGTAGTTGTTGCCCACAACTTTAGATTGTACTGCTACACTATAAGACAGATGTAAAAAGACACAAACAAAGAATTCCGCTCCAGACCGCTTTATTTTTGGATGTTGAGGCCATGTCCAGTTCGGTTAAATTATAGAAAAAGTCCCAAATCCACCAGTGATCATCGCACTTGGTTTACTGGTCCTTCAACTCCTTCAGTCTCCTGATAGCGGACTTGACTGTGACAGCGGAAGTTGTGCTGCAAGAAAAAAAAACAAACAAAACTTTTAGTTAAACTTTGTGTATACATTTTAGCGATGACATTTCCATGGTCACAAAGTTTGCTTTTCAACAGGAGCTTGTCTTTCCTTAATTTGTAAAACTAAAAACGTGTGTCGAAAAATAGTGTTGCTCCACTTAGTCCAGATAGATGATTCACTGATGACATTGCTCAATGATTTTAACCATCCAATCTTTTCATATTCTGGTCTGACAAGGCCATGACTGTTGTATTTCAATTAGTCTTTTCACAGGATGAGTTACAGTTCTGTACATTGACAGAAACCCTTCCATCATCAAAATAGACCAATGTGCTGTTCCCTGACTGTTTTTAGTCAAATATGGCAGCTATATGCAACATTTTAGAAACAAAATAAATTAAATACATTTACATGTTGCTGGATCATGCTTCATTATGACCCGGCATGTTAATAGTTAGAAAATAAGGTTCTAGTGTGGAGGCCTGGGACGTTACTACGTGGTTCACTGAATGTCTGAAAATCTGACTGGGCGGATTTAATTCTTGAACAACTGGTTTGAGATATTTGGTAAATCTCTGCATTACTGTAATTTGCAAAGAGGAAACTTTATTGGTCAAAATGATAATGTAAAAAATAATCCCCCACACAAACTGAACAGCTGTATCACTGACTGACAGCTGTCAGCTCCATGGCAACATTTACTTCTGTATTCTGACATTTACTCCAGACACGGCCTCAGCAGCCAGCAGAACTACATCATGCTGGTAGCAGAAACATGATTGTTAGCAGTGGGGTCCTTGGCGTTAGCGACAGCAGAAGACGCAGCCTTCAAACAAGGACTTTATAATGGATATAAACATGTTTCCAGATGAAGTTGGATGGTAAAATTACAGCAAATCCAAAGGAAACCTACTTGTACGTCCAGGCTCCTCCAGCCACGGTCTTCTTGCAGGACCCACAGTGCCAGATACCAACAGCCCTCCTCTTCATCTTGGTCTGTAAATATAAATGTAGCACATCAACAATGGCTGAAAAACAGTATCTTGTCAACTTGTACTGACACGACATCCAAACACCACAGGTGTACACTAAATGCTGCAGATATTCCCAGCATTGATTAGTTATAGCACAGACTTAGTGTTTCCAAAGATTGTCCTTACCTTGCCACAGAAAGAGCAGGTGTATTTAGCGTGCTGGGAGATTTCAATTTTCTTCACCATCTTCCTCAGCGACGCACCATAACGCGTGCCATATTTACCCACGATCCCCACCTTCTTGGTACGCTTGGCCTGTGGACAACATGAACACACACATAATGAGATACACAACATCTGCAGCATTAATGCAGGGGTGCAAGTAGTTACCACTCCTGACTAATTGGTGTAATACTACTGACACGTTTGCCCCTTAGTCAGTACTGTTGCTACAGCCAGGGTAAAAGGACTTTCAGGATATCCCAATGCTCCAACTAGCCCCGTACACAGCCAGTGGGGGGGTCTGGAGACAACGTTACAATTTAGACAGGTGAACATACAGGGGCCACACCATGGGTTTAACACACCGTTTATGCCATTAATCTGCAAAAGGCACAGAACCAGGGTGGATATATCCTGACACCAGCGATGTGACCAGGTAACGTTAGCCTACACTAGCTTCCTCCTGCCAGCTAGTTGGCTACCTAGCTTACTTTCACCAATTCAACAAACCGGGTCCAAGTTTAGAGACGACAAACGATGTTAACGCATTCAGTGTGCCACTTCGATTTACTTTAAAACTGCGGGTCTCTACACTAGCACGGACTTCAGAATTTAACGACAGACAGCAAGTTACTAACTAGCCCGCCCGGCTCTAGGACTGTACTAGTAATGGTGGCAGCCATTGCTGTCTCAATAGGACATGAAAACATCGTTTTTGCTGTTAATACAATCACAAACCAACACAAATACCACTGAGGTCTAACATAAAAGGACATCGTTAAGACTCTGAGTGTGTGATTGTATCATTTATAGCAGAGAAAATGTCAGATTGGCTCGGATTAGGAAGGGGACATTCTGGGCTCACCATCGTTTCAGTGGAGACGTAGGTCCAAAGAGGGATTGCTAACCGCGCAGGCGCGATTTACCCAGTCGTTTGCGCTGCATTGTGGGACTTTGAGTTTTTTCACAATACAGCTACAACTATACAAAAATAAAACTAGTCTTACAAATCGTATAAAATAGTAATTAAGTTTGCCCATTAGTAGCGTTACAGTTGCAGACTTCTAACCTGAAAATAAAATTATTCCCGTACGCAATAATTAAACAGGAAATGACTGTAACTAAGGACGCTCCAGTAGATACGCGCATGCGTGTTCATGTGGCGGACAACAACATCCATACTGCAGGATTGAAATGTTTGTCCTTTTAGCCTGTCATAATGCGGCCTTTGTTGTTTGTGAACATATAGTGAGTTGAAACTGTTTTTTCTTGACAGCTAAGTAAGTTGATATGCTATGAAGCTAACACGGAAACAGGTCCTTGCTAAGGCTAAGGCCTCCGACTTGGAAAGCGTAAAGAAATTGAACTGCTGGTAAGTGTTTAAATGAGCATACCTGTAAATCTGTTGGTTTTCGATGTACATCCCGATGGTCGAGGTTGACAGGTACAACTTATTTTGTATTTGTCGTAACGTTACGTTTCCTTTTTGCAGGGGATGCAACCTGACTGATGTGAGTAGCCAAACAGTTAAAGGATATTATATTTAGCCTAACACTGAATTCACTATTTATGCTCAAATTGACTTTGTTACACTTAACGTAACTGAAGTTGTGTTAGTATACGTGTGTATGCAATAACTTAACATAATTTAAGTATTCCCTTATATTCCAGATTTCTATCTTCTCTCAAATGGCCAACATTGAGGTGCTGACACTCAGGTTGGTCTATTTAACTCTTTGCTGTCCTCCTCTCACTGTGACACATACAGAGCCATGATCCTGGTACACTTGCTCCAAATCATCTGAGATGATCAGTGAATCCTGTTCTTTCTCTGTAGTGTCAACAGCATCTCATCTCTCTCTCCTCTGGCTGGCTGTCTGTCTCTGTGTGAGCTCTACCTGAGGAGGAACATGATTCCCTCTCTCTCTGAGCTTTCTCATCTGCGCCCATTGACGCGCCTCCGAGTGCTCTGGTTGGCTGAGAACCCCTGTTGTGGAACTGACTCCCGGCTGTATCGCCTCACTGTACTTCGCTGCCTGCCCCGCCTGCAGAAGCTTGACAACCAAGGTGAGTATGCAGTGTTTTTGTGACTTTATTTGAAGCGATTTACACAAGTGATCACATTGAGCTGGAACAAAAACTAGCTTTGGTATAACCCGAGACAAGATGGAGAGGGTTGGCTGAGACATTTCTGCAATGGGATTGTAAATTATTGTAATGAAGCACATGTGTATTGCATTTTATGTGTGTGTTTGTTTGCAGTCGTGACAGAGGATGAGATTGCACAAGCGCTCATGGAGGGTGAAGAGGTCACCACCCCCCCTGGTAGTCTCCAGAACCAGCTTTCCACCAATGGACTTCAAGATGCAGAGACAGAGAATGACCCACTTAACTACAACATGGAGGAGACCAAGTAAGCCTTGTGGACTGACACCAACACTACCAAAAATCTGTCAAACTAGTGTATTAAAATCAACACATTTCTCTTGATTTTTGTTTTCAGTAAAATCAGGGAAAAGTTGGGGATGAAGCTCCTCTCCAGAGACAAGTTCCCATCTCTTTCTTCTCCATCAACCAGAGAAAACAAGCTATTGATGAAAAAGGTACCCTCTTATCTCTGAACAGTGCTCCCCTAAAACTCAATGTTGGAATATACTTAAAAACGTTTCCATTTTGCCAATACATGTTGAATTGTATTTTCAGACACACACTCTTGATGCAGTCCTGCTGCTGCTGAGGGATTTGGATGAAGAGGAGCTTCGCGTTGTACACACAGCTACCCAGAACAGACTCCACAATTACACACTGGACTCAGACACACTAAGCGATTCACTGCAGACACAGAAAACAGCTGACATCCAACACTGAAATGTTTCATAGTATGCGCTCAGGGCTGAATCTCTCCTTTCTCTTTCCACATTTAATCTTGTTCATCCAAACACAGGGTCCTAACACACCCCCTTACCTTCTGATTGCAATATGCATGGCATGTGATGTATTGTCACTGACCTCTCTCTCCCTTTTGTTACACAGTCTTCACATGTGGAGCAGTATTTAATAAATTCCATGGCTTTTTCCTTTTTCTTAAGCAGCATGCCTGCCTTCCTGCCTGCCTTGTAAGAACAAAAGAATGTATGTTTTGCTAAACTTAAATCTATTTCTGTAATTAAAGAAGAAGTTGCAATACATTCACTCAGTGTTGATTTTAATTACACAGATCTTAGCTGAAAACATGTATACATCGAAACAGAAGACAGTGCTACAATGAGGCATTTCCTCAATTCAAAACATTTCACCAATAATTAATTTGAACCATTAATTTAAACTGTGCAGAGCCTGTAAGCTGTCTTATGTAACTAAGCCATTACTGTATATCAGTAAATGTCAGTCAGTGAACTAGAAGTGATAGTTCTCTTCTCAGTCACCCTCCTCGTTCTCCAGGAAGTCCATCAGCGTGCTCGCGTCCACGGCAACCATTAAGTACTCCACTCCATCTGCACCCTGGAGAATCATAGGAATACATGTAAGTGAGAGACTGGGGGCTGCAGAGTCATGGCACTGAGTGAGAGCTCTAAAGTGAAACAGTGACTCCACCTTGCGTGTCCGTATCAGTTTGTGGTCTCTGAACTCAGTCAGCTGAGTCCTCAGTGTGAGGTCAGAGTTTACCAAGAACGCCTCTCGACAACGCTGGTAGAAATCTTGGAATGACAATCCTGCACAAAGTCACAGGAAAACATTACAATCATAAAACTAAACAGTCGTATTCTAGGGAAGCATTTGGAAGTTTTCAGAATGTGTGTACCTGTGTATGAAGGATTATCTTTGTTTTCCAGCTGAAATTTCACCAGCAGTTGGAAAATTCCTCTGCAAAAAGAAAGGACACAGAGCCATGAAGAACTCAGGCACATCATTAGCCCCGTTACAGCACTGACCGTTGATAATATGAAGGTTTGTGTGGTACCTTGCATTGGGTGTCAAGCTGCGTAACACGTGTGTAAGGGAGGACAGAGCGAGAGCGCCGGTCTGCTGCACCAGGAGAGAGTTTTCATACGACGTCTCCTCTGCGTAGTGCTGGAACGTCACACACTCCCACCACAGCCAGTTAAACTGGCTCTGCTGGAACTGGTCCCACACTGGGAAATACACGGGAAATATTCAGCGACAAGGATACCTCTCAGTAGAATTAACAACAGTACACACACATACAAACACCCACCCAATGGAGCATTTATGTGGTCTAAAGAAGCCACCAAATGCAGGTTGGGCAGAGATGCGAGCTGCCCCAGTGCACTCTGGGTCTTCTCTCCTCGCAGCATTAGGCCATCAATATTGTGGATTAGCAGGTACACATGTAGATCTGGGCCTGCAAGGACATGCTTCAATTGTAAAACACAGAATTCAAACACAAGCTTAAGACACAGACGGTTGACAGATGCACTCACTGTCTTTAAGGGTCTGACTGATGTACTGGATCTGGTCCGAGGGTGTCCGGAAACTTCCCTGGTGCTCTAGCACCTCACATGTCAGAGAATTTAAGATCTGCAATGAAAGAAGCGTGAGAAGTTAATTTTTAAATGAGATCAGCTGATGTCCTAAAACAGCTGGACACCAGTTACATGAAGATCAAACGAGATGAAATGGCACATTGGTTGGGGACTATTTTTATATATGAACTAAAACACATTTAATGCTGTAGTGAGTATTTTTTCTTCAGCAGGACCAATTACTTAATTATTGGGAATGCTTCAAAAGAAACCAGAGAGCCTGTGGGCCATCATAATGAAAGAAACATGTCACCCAGTGCAAAAGTCTGGCTAACTGATGTGTTTTTCATAATAAACAATGGAGCTTTGTGCCACAGACAAATAAGATGTTTCACACACACTCTCACACACTCTCACACACTCTCACACACTCTCACACACTCTCACACAC